GTCCTTCAGCTTCTTCTTAATACTCTCACGCAAAGCCTGTAGGCTCTTCAACTCAGCTGCAGAACTGCCACTGGTGAAGGGCGACTTGGGACAGACAGTCACATCGGGAAATTCCAAATCTCCGTCCTCGGCCTTTATCTGTGTCGCCACGGGGTTTGCCAGGAAACTGGTCACAATGTCCACCAGCAGCATCACTAGGAGGCCCATCACGCCAAAGAAGGTGGCCAACCAGAAGAGGGCCAACCAGCCAGTCCGTATGTCCAAGTGTTTCAGGCCATTCTCCTTGCTGCGGGCGTGGCAGAACCGCCTTGCTGCCAGCCTCTTGTGCTCTCGGATGTAATACGGCAGCATGGAGGTCCTATTCGCAGCTTTGTCGAGGAATGATGGTTCGGCAGCATTCTCGCCCATATTTTGTCGTTCTAATGTTCCCCGCCCCTTTTAGAGCTCCGCGTATGGAGCGTTCTGACTTATTGATTATTTTATTGTTTGAATTTACAAATGCTGGCGCTTTTAGGATTGTCCTGGGGCCCTATTCCCTGACTTTTAGAGGATTCGAGCCTGCATATCCGGTTTGTAACACACCTCTCGTACCTGAAGCGTGCCAGTTCAAGACATAGAAGTATGAAAGATTAGAGTGCAGGTGGGTCCGTAGAGTCAGCCATGTCTTTGGCCGGTTTCGTCTTTTAGTTTTGAATCGCGTAATCTTCAAATGCACAACAAAATGAACATGTGCTAATCCAGCATCATGATAATACCCCTGTATGAGGCTATGGCATGGATAGTTTGCGGAGGTAAGGCAAGGAAACTCAACCACTTCCGTCTCAGATACCACCACAAAATAATGCAGATGACGTGGAAAGACAGGACTGTGAAGTAGACGCGATGGCTGGGACAAGAATTTTACTCGCCAGACTTTTCGGATTCCAGTTTGAACCTATTTTCATAAACAATAAACTTAATATTATATATGCTTTTCGGGTAACAGTCTCCTTCCGGACTCACTACAGCAAACGAAAATCCCAGCATTCTGTAATATGGAACCGATTATAATATGGGTTAAATGGGTGGGGCACATCGGGAAAAAAATAATTGAACAAGTAAAACGTATAAAATAAGAAAATAAGAAATATAATTAGTTAAATAACCTAATGTTTGGCACACGATGATTAAAATGAGAAATATAACCAATAGGAAAGAAGAAATGTCCAAAAGACCCCACGAATTGGATGCAACCGTATATCGACTCCATTTCGAATAGTGCCCGCAAATTGGATACAATCCTTTATTGACTTCATATCGAAATTTAGAGATTAAAGTAAAACCATGAAATATAGGCTTTTTTTCCATTTTTTAAACTCACAATAGCTTCTAGGCTGTAAAGCAACCGCATGTCGCCAAAAAATAAAACTAGCTGAAACTAAAACTAGGCTAACTAAAAATAAGGTAAAATAAAAACCAAAGTATAAAATTTAAACTCAAACTAATAAAACTAAATAAAAAAATCTAAACTAAACTAAAATCTGAATTAAACTAGAACTAATAGGACTAAAACTGACCGCAGAACGCTAAAGGAATCTGTGTGGAAAGTGCAATGTAGATGGACTGTGTCGTACCTTTGTGGTGAGAAAACATGCTTACAACCACGCAATAAGTAGGCAGTTATGTGAAGTAAGTGTAGTGAGCGTAATGAGCCAGAACCGGACTGTCAGTGGGTTGCGTACACAGGGACTTGCACAATTTATAGGATGCCATCACTAGGCTACTGTATACCTATGCCAATTAACGGCTCTTCCTTCATTGAGGATGATTTTCCTCTGGTACGCCAGTTGCTTGCTGGTCAACATGCGGATCCTGATCTGCTGAAATTTCATCACCCGTTATGGAAGTTGACCTGATGATTGCTTGGCCACATGGCTCACCAGCATCGGCGTCGGAAAATGTATTCACCTGTGTGGACCCTAAGTGGCGGACTGTTTTAGCCAAACCAAGTCTCAACACCGAATATGGATTAGGGATGTCACTACCCTTGTCGAAATTGAGTGTGTGGCCGGGTCTCGTCGAATGAGCCGTGCGATCAGAATTTGCGTCATTTCTCCGTAGTGCTACCGCATGTTCGGCAATTCGCGTCCAGAGCGGTTCTCCTGTTTTTTCGGCATAGTTTCTTTGTCCGCAACTGCAATAGACCCTATACAGAGCCCCAGATGTTCGTTGCTGTAACTTGGTCTCCTTCTTTGACGCTTAATGGTTGCCTCCGGTCGTATGAGACTCCAGTTGGTGCGAGAAGGCGGCTGACGGCCTCCGAGACGTTTCTGATGTACGAAATTGCTCGCCAAAATTAGCGGATGTTGCAATTTTATCGTTCGTTTCGTTTGCCCATGCACCGATGGATGACGTTGCACAGGTAGCCAATTTCTTTCAATGTCCGTCTAAGATGTGACGGTTCCGCAACCTTGAGTTCCGGTTCACGGCAGTGCGTCCCAACACACCGATATGGTGTCCATACGCTATTACGTATATGGCTGACAGGATGATCGCTGTTGAAGTTCGCTACCTGTGTAGCCTCTAAGCAGTGGGTATACTCGGAGCACGACAATTAGCAGGTCAAATTCCATGTTGTAGGTAGACACCAGAATGAGGAGCTCATTGAACCCAGGACCCTGAGTTGTTTTCTCAGGCAGCAATGGCCAATAATGAAGCTAGGACTAGTGTCAACTGCGTCCAGTCAAGCCTAAGGGAGTGTTAGACGGCGCAGACAACTTCTTTTACATGACTGTGAAGCAAGCTCAGGTGGTGTGTGATTCGTGTATTGCATTGCCCGAGGCAGTGTCGTGTAAAGAGGCCCATGCTGCTTTGGCCGAGGGAGGGGCGTGTTTAAGTGGTCCCAAGGCAGCCGCGGCGCTCTGGACGCGCGTGTGTGCGCTTGTAGACGTCGGTCAAGGGTCTTCAGGTCCGAGAATCGGAAACAGCTGCCGGCGAAGTCGCATGACGTTAAGGCAGCGGGCATTGAACAAAGAAATCGGGCAGCATTTTTGGCTGTCCGCCACACCTGCGTCGT